TCTTGGTCCTGTTCTTTCTGGTTGTGTTCCTTTTTCCTGTACAGATCCACTTGATGGGCTATATGATCTGTATAAACGCCTTTTGTCATGCTTCCAAGTCCAACCACCTCTGCCAGTTTGCTCCTTACTGGTGAGGGCAGTCCCATCTGCAGTTTAGCTCACATCTGGATCATTTCCGGTAATATTTCTCCACACTTGATGGACTCTTGACACATAGGCTCTCGGATTTTCTTGTTGTCCTAGTGGATCAATCAGAATGTTGTCAGGATGCACATTTGTTGGAAACTTATCTTTCAGTGCTCTCCACAGACGATTCCTAATTGCAGCCAACAATTCAGGGTTGTTCACTGCAGTCCCCACATATCTATTGAGTCCAGCTCTCTGAAATATTTCTTCCATATCTGGAATCCCAAGTAGATTTGCCAAAAGTATCTTAATGTCTCCTATTGCTGACTGTGTTCCCACCGTAATTTCTTCCAATTTTGAAATCCAAGGATAGGCTCCATCTTGAAGAGTAGGCAGCTTCTCAAGTATATCTGACATATCGGTATTTTGCAAAGGCTTATATTCTAGGTTTTGTCCTCGAATGATCACTGGCATCATCTTCTTACTGGTGCCCTCTTTCCTTGGCCTTAATGTATACTTTTTCTCCAATTCTTGGGGTCCTTTTCTCAGCAGTTTTTTTTTCTGTATCTTCAGCTTCTCGAGTTGTTGTTCCAGTTCTCTTACTTCTTCTAAATTATTCGCTTTATCCAGGCATGATACGCATCGGTCTATATCTCTTTCTATTTCTTCTGTGCTAGTCATTGTAGGATAAAATCCTCTTGAATATGAAGCACCTTTAATCTCCAAATCTTTATCGCTGTCTTCATCTTCGCTTTCATCAGAACTGGAATATCTTGTATTCTTCTTCTTCAAACATCCATCACCCCTTCTTTCCGCTCTGGCCAACCTCCGTCTGATCACAGGGTCATATCCACCCATGATCTCTTCTGAATCACTCTGATCATCATCATCATCATCATCTTCAAGTTCCATCCTCCTGAACCTCACTCCACCCTTAGTTTCCAGACATCTCGTTTTTTTCTTACTTTTGGAGTTTGGATTCATTTTTATGGTAGTTTCTGCTTGTCCTCTCTCTATTATTCGTTCATCTTCATCTCTGATGCAATAATCACCCTCCTGAATGATCACTGGAAGCTGAGGATAGACGTCCTTAAACTCTACTTCTTTCTCATAAGGTGGGGGTCTTTTTGCTGAATCCGTATGTGAGAAAGGTGTACTGATTTCTGTCATTAGTTTTTCTGTCACCTTCACTGCTTTTACAATTTTCTCTAAACCTTTGTTTCTTTTATCGTTGGTATCTTTTATCAGTTTTTGTCCTTCATTTTCAAACAGCTTAAGAACACCCAGCTCTCTTTGTCTCTTTTCTTTACGTTGTTCCCTTTTTTTCCCTTGCTTTTGATCTGCCTTATGAATTGACAGAAGCACTTTCATTATGTTGATGACGTCAGGGTTAAGAGTCCCTTCCACTGGCCATGGTTGTTCAATGTCAGGCCAACGTTTATTCCATTTTCCAGATAACCTTGCAATACCATTAACTAAAGGATTACTATTTTCAACTATATCAATAGGTGTAATTACTTTCATAGTTTTGATGTCCTTTTTCCCCATTGTAACAACTATTTTATATTCCTTTATTGTGAATTAATTTATTATTTTAGACTATATAGCTTATGGTTTCCTCCCTATTTTGTATTACTTTTTTTTAATTATTATTATTATTATTAATAAAAAAATGTTTTTTATTTTTATTTTTTATTTTATTTAAATATTAAATAAAAATTAATCAATTAAAAAATGTATGATGAATATATATATATATATATATATATTTTTTTTTATTGATTTTTATTTTACCAAGTTATTAGTTAGTGGCAATCTTACCACATCCGATCAGGAAAAGTAAAGGAAAGTAGTCAACTTCAGAGCAATCCAAAAAAGAAAGACCTATAATCCAGCAACACTACAGCACTCACAAACCAATTGCTTAATAAGCACCCAATTACCTTAATTTACAGAATAATGTCAGTACTCGATTTCCAACACAACTCTAATCAAACCAACTTATTCACAAAAAATCCAATATGCAATTACATCAATTGATCAGTCTGTTGCCAAGTCCCTGTCAAATTGTCACAACATCAAATATGCTAGGCACACAAAATATCCTGTATGGGAAGGTAAGTTTTGTAAATAGAACAGTACTGGCCTTAGTTTGACTTGATCCGTTGCAGCAGACTCTGTCGCGTGATGTACACGTCAGCAATTCCTCTCTCTCTGTCTCTCTCTCCTCCTTCTTATCGTCTCATATGACAGAATAACAAAGGACAGACAAGAATTTAGTATTTTATGCACACACTGAGTTATTTCAACCATTCAATACTCCTCCGTTCACATTCGCGCTAAGAAATAAGCAAACTTAACTCAGGAATAGTATAAATAGCTCAATAACATTTTATTTTATTTATTTAATCCGTCAACATATCTCTAGTTTATCAATTCGATAGGTCTCAAGAAAACAGTTTCATCGTCAAACAACAGCCGATTTAACAACCAGAATACACTATTAGTGTCTAAATCTTCTCTCTCTTTGTTTTCGTCTCCCAGCAGCTCAGTGTATGGGGAGTGGCATATTTTCCCTACGTAACTCTAAAGTCATAAAATCACACGCATGCGTAGTACATTCACCAGTACGATTTCAGAGTGGATGGAGCTCTCTCCCAGCTCTCTCCAAGCTATACAACAGAAAGTTAACAGTCCCGCTGTACCTCCATTCTTTTACCCCCCATAGACAAACAATAACACTTAACAGAGCTCACAAACCAACATAAAACATTGAACACAAATCCTACTTAGAAGTTTCTTAACTTCCCTTTATCCTAATCTGCAGATTTATAGTTATTTCCTTATCTATTACAAAACATCTCTATACACTATTAAAAACTCCTCCCTGTAGGCTCATGATATTCTAATAGTTAGTAAACATTCTCTTTTTATAGAGACTCATACGTTTTTTAACCTTAGCGTCCTTCCAGGGGGCTCATATATAGTTAACAACTATTAACGTTCTCACCAACGGAGACTCATAAGATTTTTTAACCTTAACTTACGTATTTCCTTATAAAAACAAAAACCCCTATCCTCAACCAAAACATATATATGTATATATCTCTAACATAAATCTTATCCTAATATGAGTCGACACACAACAGAGACGTCTTTATTTTATTATTTTTCTCTCTCTCTCTCTCTCTTTCATACATACACAGTTTTAAGAGGCTTATTCCATTCCTATGGACCCCTAAGGTAGCATGTAGCATGTAGCATGTTACCTCCATTGCGCCGTATTTTCCATTGTTCCTAAATTTAGGCTACCACGAGTTTGCGGATATTCAATGAGCGGTCACATCAAACATATACTTTGTCAACTATAAGATGAGCGGTAACTTGCAATAGAATGTATATACCACAATCCCCAGTCCCCGGGACTGACCTAAACCCACCTAATGTGCTTTTAGGATTTTCGGCCCATCCTAATGATCGCCTCCTGAGAGGGCTTTCCATAGATTCGCAATGGTCCTAATTTGTATACATTTACCTTGGCCTTATTCCTTTCAATCTATTCTTCTTGAATTTTATTCAAGCAAAATATCCCTATAGACACTCCCCCCTTTTTGCGTTGTTTACCAGCGCAAACAAATTTAGAACGGACCCACAGCAAATAACACACGCAAGTTCTTAGCGGTGCATTCATTCAACGCACAGACACACGAACTGACCAGTTGCCCAAAGTAGTGAGAAAACTCACCCTTATCTGCCGGACTCCGGAGCGAAAGTCAGCTCGGCGCCCATGAATGGAACGTTGAGAAAAAACGCAATTCGTCCAAATCCTCGTCGCCATTTTGTTGTGTCGAGAAAACGTTGCTAATTATGCTGTGAGAACAAGGAAATCCGCTGACGCTGTACTTTGATCATAAAGGTTTATTCATAACAAAGGATTTCAGCGTCGATTTACAGATACCTGCAGGCATCTGGAGAACAGTGGACCCAAAATAATATGTTGTTCTGACCTCCTTTGTCTTCACCAAGTATTTATCCTATGTAATCTGATATGGGTGTTTCCCCTATAGACCAATCCCAGGAGGTCACCTAACAGACTTCCTCTGCTTTAGGGTACTCCTCTAAAACTGCTCTCCAGATGTCTCCCTGGGCCAAATCAACATTCTCTAAGCTACCATTTGCAAACATTAACAAAGTCATAAATTCCTCAGATACTACATAAACACATTTGTGCACAAAATTGTAGAGAAATAAGCTTTTTTGTGCGTATGGAAAATTTCTGGGATCTTTAATTTCAGCTCATGAAACATGGGACAAACACCTTACATGTTGCGTTTATATTTTTGTTCAGTGTATTTGGGTCACATATTTGTTTCCAAAAGGATGAATGGAGTGGATGGAAGTGGAAACAGATGGTAGTGACAGACAGCAGTGCCCTTCCTTAGTGCCCCAAAAGGCTAGAGCCAGCCCTGATCAGATAGCATATATGTAGAATAGCAATAAATTAGCTTTAAAATGGCAACATCTTCTCACAGCCCCATTGCAAAACGTATAAAATAGTAAGACATTTGTGATAAAACTGCAACATTTTTCTCTCTGCTCCATGGCAAAATGTGTAGAATTTCTGGAAGTTAGCTTTAAAGAAACATTCTCTCCACCACCATGAGGGGGCCTCCAAAATGTTGTTGTTCAGGCCCCCTGAAGTGGTTAGTCTGGCGCTTATGACACCGCTCTTCAGTTGTTCATTGACCACACACTACTATATTATCATGGGAGTTCTATATTCCATCTCCACTAACGAAAAGTATGTGATGTGATTATAAATCTTGCTAAATATCACATACATAAAATAAAAATGTTACCTGAGAATCGGCAATTCAGGTTCTACACAGAGACAAAACACAAACACAGTACAATACAATACTAAGGGAAAGATAGAGGCAAGGTGTGGAGAATACAGTTAAAACAGAGAGGAAATAGTTGTGACAACTCACACACAGGTATGTGTGTTAGTGTAATATTTGCAATAAAAATTGCAATCTTATTGCAAATTATTAGGTGTATACAGCAGCTTCCCAGAAAGATGTCTCCCGCCACATACAAGCGTTGCTCCAGGTTGGAAGTGTCTTTTCAGCAGCCTGATCAGCACATTGAGCAGGCAGCAGGTAGCTTAGTGGTTAAGAGCATTGGGCCAGTAACCGAAAGGTTGTTGGTTTGAATCCCTGAGCTGACCAGGTGAAAAATCTGTTTATGTGCCCTTGAGCAAGGCACTTAACCCTACTTGCTCCTGTAAGTTGCTCTGGATAAGATTGTCTGCCAAAATTGATAAGTACATCCTTTGTAGTTGATAGATAACTTGATGGATTCTCTACACTAAGGACACACTGTTTTTGTGGACATTAGAACCACACGCAGGATAATGAAATTACTGAAGTTCATGTTATCAAAGGGGAAGTCTTACTGAAATCGCTCATGGTAGAATGAAATATAAACAAATCTGTATTCAAAGTAGTGAGTTCGTTTGCATAGGAATGATTCTGGACTTTTAGTAGTAACATCCAAATTGTCTGTCAGTTGTAACATCTCAGACTGCTAGCTAATCTATCTGGTAATACCACTGTGAATCAAACATACTTCCCTGCAAAAGAAAGACACCAAAAATGTTCTTCTCCAACTCGTTTTTAATAGCAAGTAGTCACTGCTGAACAAAAGGTATTTTTTTCAAGTGGGATAAAACAGCATTTGGTGAAATAATATAAAATAAATACATTTAACAAAGCACCACAACATTGATCAAAGGCATGAATGTGCACTGTGAATATGGTAAACTAGATTCAATAAAAAATATTTAATTTTCCAGCACATGCACCAAACAATGTTATAGAAAAATTCTAAACTGAATTTGTAAAATAAGATCCAGCAGGAGAAACTAAAAAGGTGGTAAATAATAAAAACATAATTCACATTAAAGCAAGAAACCGCCACAAAGGAGGGCCCTTTTCCCTTTTAAAAACATGTTTGGACACTTCAGCCTCAATGGGCAGGGTCACACTGCCTTTTCAACATCTTGGAAAGGACTGGGAATCTGGGAAGGACTGGGAATCAAATTAGCTACAACAGAAGAAGAAAAACAATCAAACGCACAAACAGACATTCATTTGAAACTACGGCGAGCACATATCCTATCACACAATCAGAACCCAAAAGCCTATTGTATGTTGGTGCTGTTTTAATAACTCAAATTTGAAAAGTAACAACACCCTGAGGGGCAGGTATACCAAGAGTGTTTAAATACTGGTCCCAGATCTGTCTAGGCTTTAGAACTCTGACTATAGCTTGGTCCCAGACCTGTATGAGATTTAGCCAACTCCTCTGAGTATTGTTGCCCTGCCGTGTATAAGACATGTAAAATGTATGGCATGACAACTAGACAACAACAGTCAGAAAAGTCTAAAACCCAGACAGGTCTGGGACCAGGCTATAATCAGAGAAGTCTAAACCCAGACAGGTCTGGGACCAGGCTATAGTCAGAAAAGTCTAAAACCCAGACAGGTCTGGGACCAGGCTATAATCAGAGAAGTCTAAACCCAGACAGGTCTGGGACCAGGCTATAATCAGAGAAGTCTAAACCCAGACAGGTCTGGGACCAGGCTATAGTCAGAAAAGTCTAAACCCAGACAGGTCTGGGACCAGGCTATAATCAGAGAAGTGTAAACCCAGACAGGTCTGGGACCAGGCTATAATCAGAGAAGTCTAAACCCAGACAGGTCTGGGACCAGGCTATAATCAGAGAAGTCTAAACCCAGACAGGTCTGGGACCAGGCTATAGTCAGAGAAGTCTAAACCCAGACAGGTCTGGGACCAGGCTATAGTCAGAGAAGTCTAAACCCAGACAGGTCTGGGACCAGGCTATAGTCAGAGAAGTCTAAACCCAGACAGGTCTGGGACCAGGCTATAATCAGAGAAGTCTAAACCCAGACAGGTCTGGGACCAGGCTATAGTCAGAGAAGTCTAAACCCTAGACCAGTGGTAGCAGCCCCACAGCTCTCCTTGGAGGGCACATGCAAAAACAACAGCCCAACTCAAAATATCCAGCTAACAGAAATACAATCTCTTGTAAGTTTGGACATAAAATAATACAACTAACATGTAAAAAGGGTTTAAGAGAGAGTTGGACATGGAAGGATAACAAAACAGTGTGAGTAGAGATGGGGGGGGGTCATCTCTCCCCTCAGTGCAACAGCGGATCATGGAGGGGAGGCAGTTTTCACATTCTGGCAGGCAGCATACGGAGGGGACCGAGGGAGCTCTTTACTTCTTCCAAACGGTATAGAAAACCCACCTGAGTCAGCTTGTTAAGGAGAATGCCATGTAAACAACAAGTAACCACACGTCTATACATGAGTATGCCTGTGTGACTGTAAATGGGAGACGTGTGTGATAAGCACAAGACTCTTTTCTCGAAGGATACAGTTCCATATAAGAGGGCACACACACCACCTCCTTGGAGAAGTCTACAGGACACGAGAGCCTTCCCAGCTGCTCCTCATAAAGAGCCAGTGCCTCAGTCAGATTCGCACAGTTACCCTGATGACACACAACAGGGTTAAAACACGGACCACACAGCAATTAGGGGACAAAAATGTCCCCCAAAAAACATCACACTAGGACAAACTTGTCTCTCATGAAGAAAGACATACGAGACAGACATATAAGTTAATCATGTGTAGGGATGGTGATATCAATATGAGCTGAATTCCACACAATGCTAGGGTGACTGTATGAAGCATTCAACGAATATGGGTCTCACCTGTGTGAAGTACTTCCCAGTAGGACGCAGTACTTTGATTGAGAGATCCAAGATAAGCTGTAGGAACTCCCATGTAGAGTCTGAGACAGAGTAAACCATCTGTCAACCAATTATGCGAGTGTTTCATACAAGCTCCTATCCAAGAAACAGGTTAAGATTACACTATCCACATCCTAAATCCGATCAATTCTTTGCAGTGAGGTATAATGCGGTGCGTCTTTACAAGAGCCATACCAGTATTCATCATTGCATACATCGTTAGAACTGACTGTCCAAGACGACCACATGAGAGAGCATTTGTCACTCACCCTCCTCTGGCGCTGTGGAGATGGGGACCGCTGTGAGGTCATTGATGACGTAATCAAACGTCTTCCCTTCCTCAACATACTTTTTCAGAACAGGAACGCAGTCCTCTACCAACACCTGGAGAGAGATAACAACAGATGGAATAAAGATGGAGGGGGTGCAGGGCAATGTAGTCATGGAAACCCCATGTAGTAACATACAAGACCACAGAGAGCGGAGCAAATCTTTTCAGAGTAGTGGGCAAAAGACAAACGTTCCATCTCATCTAAGGAGAGGTGCAGTGGACAGCAATGTCCTGCTCACCTGGTAACATTCTCCCTTCAGGTTGTCCAGAACACTTCCACATGTCTTCCTCATGTGCGTTCTACACCCATCAATCACCATTTGGTCGATGTAAACACTTTGTCAAGGCATTACAAACCAGGCACAGGGGAAGACAGATGACAGACCAGATAATCCTACCGGGCCACGTCTCGAAAAATGCTCAGAGGTTAGTGTTAAAATATTGTTGGTGCAAATCCCTGAAGCAATATGTTAACTGAGCACAGAGAGAAGTGAAAAGCAGTGTCCTGAAAGGATATCTCTACCATGGTGATCATCTTTGGCTTGAGTTTGACGGCCTCTGAAAGGATTCCTCCATCACCGCCTCCTAAAATCAGCACTTCCTTCCCTGCATAGTTCTCTTTCCCTCTGCCCATGATGGCCTGGGTGTAGGGTAGGTCACTCTCTGACAAATCTGCCATATAATCACATTACAATATCATTAGATAAGTAAGCCACATGCCACGACTGAAACCCAGTCAAATGTTAATCTTATTAGATTTAGATTTTAGAAGTGAAAAATTACAGTTGAACAACAATAGTGACCTAAATAACAAAAGTAAATAACATAATTACAACAATATAAAGTAGCAGCAGGTGAGGAATAATTCATAACAATTGTCTCTAAAATTCTATCTTAAATCAAGGCCTGTAGGAACGCTATATTTTACTTACTAACATCCCCATTGAGGATCAGGATATTGCCAAACTGCTGTGAGTGCATGATCTTTATGTTCTGGTATGCAGAGTCCTCATCGTATACAACCCGATCTATGTCATACTCCACCAGTCTGCCGTCAGCTGTGGGCCAGTATCGATCAACAGCTGCACCTCGTATCAGAGCTGGGAGCCTGGGGAAGGTGGTAGATATCATGTTCATGATAGCATCATGGAGACATTGACAGGGGGTTACAGAGTAATCATTTCACACTACAGCTTGTGTACCTCTCCAGTCACAAGATAGTCAACACACAAGGCCACTACCGTTTGATTATCCACCACTCGAGGCTTACCTCTTGACCCTCTTAATGTTTCCATGTAGGAGACTTCTCAGCTTCTTTTCCAGTGCATTCAAAAGCTGAGAGAAAACCGAATTTGTTATTTTGCATATTCTAATGCTACATTAAGCAAAATATCCTTAATGTCAAATAGTCCAAAGGCCTATGAGACCACATGTTCGAAAAATTCGTAAGCAAGCATTTCACTGTAAAGTCTACACCAGTTGTATTCGCCGCATGTGATAAATACAATTTGATTTGATGTGTTGCTGTATCTAATTTATGGAAATGTTTCTTACTTAGGGTATTCTGAAGGTCTGTTAAATATGTACTTTTTTTGTATTTGTGTTATTGTTTTATGTATGGATGTAAGCAGGTCCTTTGTAAAGTTTCTCTCATCACCTACATTCTCTACTTGTACAATGTTATCTCCTTCACAACACTGCAGATCAATGGTAAGCAGACCATGGACGGGCACACGCAGAATAACCAACCTGAAAAGAGACAGACAGAAACAGAGAAAGAAAGAAGCACAGAGTTAAATTGAGAGAAATATAGAATTGAATCTAGGCTATAACTTATCTCTCTCACTTCTCTCTCCTTCAACCCAAAGCTCATGAGGAGAGCTGTGGCATGATACAGGTTGACCTATTGACCTAAGCTTTATGAAAGCACAGTGGCGAGCCAGGGGCAGCTGAAGGTTGAGCATTTTTACCCAAAATTATGTGTGGTGTTGCCGCGGGCATATTCATGCAGGCTTAGGCCCACACAATGGCCCACCGGCAGTGTTTACCACTCACCACACATAAAACAGGAAGCACCAAAGCCCTTAGATCCGATAAACAAAGCCATAAACAAAGCCACATCTGAACGCAAGCCATTGTTGTACCAATGATCCACTTAACTGGCCAATCAATGGTCTGGGGTTTTCATTGGACAGTCAGGGTATTGGTAAAAAGAACTAGGATTTTACAAATTCCTGTCACCTTAAATATTTCTCAATTACAACAACATTTTTGTGTAGCCTGTATCTGCCATTACAGTATTTGCTGAGGGCATATAACACTGCTACTTCTGTCTACATTTGTTTTGCATAAACCTTGACAACCTCACACATTCAAACACTACACCCCTCCCCCAACACACTCACATCATTTGCTGGTGCTACTACTGTCTCTCTGTTCTTTACATTCACATTTACATTTAAGTCATTTAGCAGACGCTCTTATCCAGAGCTAATTACATTTTTTTTTTCATACTGGCCCCCCGTGGGAATTGAACCCACAACCCTGGCATTGCAAACGCCATGCTCTACCAACTGAGCTACATCCCTGCCGGCCATTCCCTCCCCTACCCTGGACGACGCTGGGCCAATTGTGCGCCACCCCATAGGTCTCCCGGTCGCGGCCGGCTACGACAGAGCCTGGATTTGAACCAGGATCTCTAGTGGCACAGCTAGCACTGCGATGCAGTGCCTTAGACCACTGCGCCACTTGGGGACTAATTTATTTGACTCTTATTATTATCCATCTTGATGCCTAGTTACTTTACCCTGCCTTCATGTACATATCTACCTCAAATACCTAGTACCTCTGCACATTGATCTGGTACTCCCTGTATATAGCTCCATTCTTGTGTATTTTATTTCTCTTGTGTTCGTTACAATGTTTTTTTTTACTCTGCATTGTTGGGAAAGCAAGTAAGCAAGTAAGTCTACACCAGTTGTATTCGGCGCATGTGATAAATAAAATGTGATTTGATTGTGCTAATCGAAGATGATATTGAACTAGCTGAGCTACAGAGGACCCCTATGTAACCCCACAGAGGACATCTATGTAACCCCACAGAGGACATCTATGTAACCCCACAGAGGACATCTATGTAACCCCACAGAGGACATCTATTTAACCCCAAAGAGGATCCCTATGTAACCCCTGTGCAAAGCATAGTAGCTTGTTATCTAGCAATAGTTCGGATACATCACCTTATTGACTTACACTAGTACAAGTGACAGGGGCTAAATAATGTATCCAAACTATTACTACAGATTAATGTAGCTCTGTTGGAATAACTTTTATAGATACACTACATGACCAAAAGCATATGGACACCTGCTCATCGAACATCTCATTCCAAAATCATTCATATGGAGTTGGTCCCCCCTTTGCTACTATAACAGGCTCCACTCTTCTGGGAAGGCTTTCAACTAGACGTTGGAACGCTGGGGTCGGGTACTGATGTTGGGCGATTAGGCCTGGCTCAAAGTCGGCGTTCCAATTCATCCCAAAGGTGTTTGATGGGGTTGAGGTCTGGGCTCTGTGCAGGCATTGTCATGCTGAAACAAGAAAGGGCCTTCCCCAACGTGTTGCCACAAAGTTGGAAGCCCAGAATCGTCTAGAATGTCATTGTATGCTGTAGCATTAATATTTCCCTTCTCTGGAACTAAGGGGCCTAGAACGAACCAAGAAAAACAGCCCCAGAACATTATTCCTCCTCCACCAAACTTTACAGTTGGCACTATGCATTGGGGCAGGCAGCGTTCTCCTGACATCTGCCAAACCCAGATTCGTCCGTCGGACTACCAGATGACACGTTTGCACTGCTCCAGAGTCCAATGGCGGCGAGCTTTAAACCACTCCAGCCGACGCTTGGCATTGCGCATGGTGATCTTAGGGTTGTGTGCGGCTGCTTGGCCATGGAAACCCATTTTATGAAGCTCCCGACGAACAGTTATTGTGCTGACATTGCTTCCAGAGGCAGTTTGGAACTCCGTAGTGAGATTTGCAACCGAGGACAGATGACGTTGAAAGTCACTGAGCTCTTCAGTAAAGCCATTCTACTGCCAATGTTTGTCTATTGAGATTGCATGGCTGTGTGCTCAATTTTATACACCTGTCAGCATCGGGGTGTCCACATACTTTTGTATATATAGTGTAACTTTGACATCTTTTGGAAACAGAAAATCCTCTACAGGAATGACGGTGTCCATCCAAATCATCTTGGCTCCTGGACTCTGACCACACATTTCAAGGATGCATTGAGATAATGACCAAAGCCCAGCTCAAATTATCCCTACCATTGTGTCGCTCAGTTGTCGTAATGCTGCAGCAAATGTACATTATCCCAGGGGCAGTGGCAGTCACGATGTAAGTAACCTAATTTATGTCCCTCTAACTCCCCTGAATACCTCTGTCGATCCTACAGCTATTGTATGCAGTAATCATGTGCCTATGAACCAGAGTTATACTGTTAGCACTGAGGCGGTGTGCCCTACTAAACATCCCTTTTTCAGGACCCTGTCTTCCAAAGATAACTCGTAAAAATCCAAATAACTTCACAGATCTTCATTGTAAAGGGTTTAAACACTGTTTCTCATGCTTGTTCAATGAACCATAAACAATTAATGAACATGCACCTGTGAAACGGTCGTTAAGACACTAACAGCTTACAGACGGTAGGCAATTAAGGTCACAGTTATGAAAACTTAGGACACTAAAGAGGCCTTTCTACTGACTCTGAAAAACACCAAAAGAAAGATGCCCAGGGTCCCTGCTCATCTGCGTGAACGTGCCTTAGGCATGCTGCAAGGAGGCATGAGGACTGCAGATGTGTGGTCAGGGCAATAAATTGCAATGTCCGTACAGTGAGACGCCTAAGACAGCGCTACATGGAGACAGGACGGACAGCTGATCGTCCTCGCGGTGGCAGACCACGTGTACAGGATCGGTACATCCGAACATCACACCTGCGGGACAGGTATAGGATGGCAACAACAACTGCCCGAGTTACACCAGGAATGCACAATCCCTCCATCAGTGCTCAGACTGTTCACAATAGGCTGAGAGAGGCTGGACTGAGGGCTTTTGGCCTGTTGTAAGGCAGGTCCTCACCAGACATCACCGGCAACAACGTCGCCTATGGGCACAAACCCACCGTCATTGGACCAGGCAGGACTGGCAAAAAGTGCTCTTCACTGACAAGTTGCGGTTTTGTCTCACCAGGGGTGATGGTCGGATTCGCGTTTATCGTCGAAGGAATGAGCGTTATACCGAGGCCTGTACTCTGGAGCGGGATCGATTTGGAGGTGGAGGGTCCGTCATGTTCTGGGGCGGTGTGTCACAGCATTATCGGACTGAGCTTGTTGTCATTGCAGGCAATCTCAACGCTGTGCATTACAGGGAAGACATCCTCCTCCCTCATGTGGTACCCTTCCTGCAGGCTCATCCTGACATGACCCTCCATCATGACAATGCCACCAGCCATACTGCTCATTCTGTGCGTGATTTCCTGCAAGACAGGAATGACAGTGTTCTGCCATGGCCAGCGAAGAGCCCGGATCTCAATCCCATTGAGCACGTCTGGGACCTGTTGGATCGGAGGGTGAGGGCTAGGGCTGTTCCCCCCAGAAATGTCCGGGAACTAGCAGGTGCCTTGGTAGAAGAGTGGGGTAACATCTCACAGCAAGAACTGGCAAATCTGGTGCTGTCCATGAGGAGGAGATGCACTGCAGATACTGACAGTTACTTTTGATTTTGACCCCCCCTTTGTTCAGGGACACATTATTCAATTTCTGTTAGTCACATGTCTGTGGAACTTGTTCAGTTTATGTCTCAGTTGTTGAATCTTGTTATGTTCATACAAATACAGTGGGGAAAAAAAGTATTTAGTCAGCCACCAATTGTGCAAGTTCTCCCACTTAAAAAGATGAGAGAGGCCTGTAATTTTCATCATAGGTACACGTCAACTATGACAGACAAATTGAGGAAAAAAAATCCAGAAAATCCCATTGTAGGTTTTTTAATGAATTTATTTGCAAATTATGGTGGAAAATAAGTAATTGGTCACCTACAAACAAGCAAGATTTCTGGCTCTCACAGACCTGTAACTTCGTCTTTCAGAGGCTCCTCTGTCCTCCACTCGTTACCTGTATTAATGGCACCTGTTTGAACTTGTTATCAGTATAAAATACACCTGTCCACAACCTCAAACAGTCACACTCCAAACTTCACAATGGCCAAGACCAAAGAGCTGTCAAAGGACACCAAAAACAAAATTGTAGACCTGCACCAGGCTGGGAAGACTGAATCTGCAATAGGTAAGCAGCTTGGTTTGAAGAAATCAACTGTGGGAGCAATTATTAGGAAATGGAAGACATACAAGACCACTGATAATCTCCCTCGATCTGGGGCTCCACGCAAGATCTCACCCCGTGGGGTCAAAATGATCACAAGAGCGGTGGGCAAAAATCCCAGAACCACACGGGGGGACCTAGTGAATGACCTGCAGAGAGCTGGGACCAAAGTAACAAAGCCAACCATCAGTAACACACTACGCCGCCAGGGACTCAAATCCTGCAGTGCGAGACGTGTCCCCCTGCTTAAGCCAGTACATGTCCAGGCCCGTCTGAAGTGCATTTGGATGATCCAGAAGAGGATTGGGAGAATGTCATATGGTCAGATGAAACCAAAATATATATTTTTGGTAAAAACTCAACTCGTCATGTTTGGAGGACAAAGAATGCTGAGTTGCATCCAAAGAACACCATACCTACTGTGAAGCATGGGGTTGGAAACATCATGCTTTGGGGCTGTTTTTCTGCAAAGGGACCAGGACGACTGATCCGTGTAAAGGAAAGAATGAATGGGGCCATGTATCGTGAGATTTTTAGTGAAAACCTCCTTCCATCAGCAAGGGCATTGAAGATGAAAC